CTCCCCTTCAGCCCTGCCTCCCCTGGCCCTCCCCTTCAGCCCTGCCTCCGCCAGCCCTCCGCTTCAGCCCTGTCTCCCCCAGCCCTCCTTTACTCCCCACCTTCTCACACACTCAGTCATCGGCTTATTCACCTGGCTCATGGCCTGTCTCCCTGCAAAGTGAGGGGCATCAGTTTTGTCCACTACTGTTTCCCAGAACCTAGAACAGGGTCTGGAACACCATAGCCACTCAGTTAACATTTGTGGGGATAATATGGGCACACCTAGGCTCGTGCTTACACATAGAAATAAACACACCCACCAACACACTCAGCGGTGCACTGCGCCTGCACACATGTACAAATGGACATTCGCGACCCCTGGGTGCACACATGGAGATTCCCCTCCACACAGAAAGGGGGGTTTTCTTTAAAACAGAGATAGTCACAAAGACCAGCACTCCCAGGCTCACTCCTGCAGGTGCACCTGCACCCTCTCTTTCTCCCCCTCTTTCTCTGGCCAGGACCCTCCCAGGCTGGGCACCAGGCTCACTGGGTCCCCCGCAGAAGGAGGTCCGTCCTGGTCAGGGCTGCTGCTGGGGGACACCGTGTCCCTCTCTACCCCAGCCCCACTCCAGGCGGCTCCCGTCACTTCCCCCCACTCCCTTGAAGGTGACTCTCTCCAGAAGCATCCTGCCGCAGGATGCCTGTCATCACCTCGTCAGAGCTGTCACCCCCCAGCCCCCCCACCCAGGTGCCAGCTGCCTCAGGGCTGTGCTGGTCTGCTGCTCACCGTCATCAGGAAACTGCGCCCCCTTCTCTGGTGAAGGGCACGCAGTGTGGCAGGCACGGGAGCATCAGGGGACATGGGCTCTGGGCTGCCTGCTTAGAGTCCCTATGCCCTTGTGCCCATCCCTAAGCCAGAAAGCTCTCCGGGTCTCAGCCCCCACCCCAGCTCCACTGCCATCTGTCCTCATTCCTTCCAGCATTTCCAGAACCAGGGGCCTGCAGGGCCCATGCTGCCCTGGAGGAGCCATGGAGGGACAGGTGTGCCCTTGGTGGGCAGGAGGCTACGGGCTGACCCCCACCATGTTTTGCCCTCAGGGGAACGCATCTTGGCCAGTGGCTCCGTACAGCTGCCTCGATTCACGCCCCTGGAATCGGGCAGCCTTCTCATCAGCCCCACACACATCTCCGATGCGGGGACCTACACCTGCCTGGCAACCAACTCTCGGGGGGTCGACGAGGCCTCAGCAGACCTGGTTGTTTGGGGTGAGTGTGCAGAGTCATGGGGCTTTATACACCTGTGTGTGCATGTGTACAAGCCATGGGACTTTATACATCCGTGTGTGTGTGTGTGTGTGTGTGTGTGTGTGTGTGTACAAGCCACGGGGCTTTATACATCCGTGTGTGCATGTGTACAAGTGTGCAGAGCCACGGGGCTTTATACACCCGTGTGTGCGTGTGTACAAGCCATGGGGCTTTATACATCCGTGCGTGCGTGTGTACAAGTATGCAGAGCCAAGGGGCTTTATACACCCGTGTGTGCGTGTGTACAAGCCACGGGCCTTTATACATCCGTGTGTGCGTGTGTACAAGCCACAGGGCTTTATACATCTGTGTGTGCGTATGTACAAGTGTGCAGAGCCATGGGCTTTAACATCCATGTGTGCGTGTGTACAAGCCACGGGGCTTTATACATCCGTGTGTGCGTGTGTACAAGCCACGGGGCTTTATACACCCGTGTGTGCGTGTGTACAAGCCACGGGGCTTTATACATCCGTGTGTGCGTGTGTACAAGTGTGCAGAGCCACGGGGCTTTATACATCCGTGTGTGCGTGTGTACAAGCCACGGGACTTTATACATCCGTGTGTGCGTGTGTACAAGCCACGGGGCCTTATACATCTGTGTGTGTGTGTGTGTACAAGTGTGCAGAGCCATGGGGCTTTATACGCCCGTGTGTGTGTGTGTACAAGCCACGGGGCTTTATACATCCGTGTGTGCATGTGTACAAGTGTGCAGAGCCATGGGGCTTTATACATCCATGTGTGTGTGTGTACATCCCTGCAGCCGCTGAGGGCTCAGGACACCTATGGGTCCGTGTGTACAAGCCAGGGGGCTTTATACATCCGTGTGTGCGTGTGTACAAGCCACAGGGCTTTATACATCCGTGCGTACGTGTGTACAAGTGTGCAGAGCCAGGGGGCTTTATACATCCATGTGTGCGTGTGTACAAGCCACAGGGCTTTATACATCCGTGTGTGTGTGTGTACAAGTGTGCAGAGCCATGGGGCTTTATACATCCATGTGTGTGTGTGTACATCCCTGCAGCCGCTGAGGGCTCAGGACACCTATGGGTCACAGGCTCACACCACCAGGGTCTCCACCGCAGCGTCTGTCCCAGCCAGGGCCCTTCTCATCAGAGGGACAGTGACAAAGTGGTTCAGAGCCCAGGGACTAGGAAGGTTCTGCCAATGATGCCAGGCTTGGCCAGCTTGAGAGAACATTGAGGTTATAGGAGAGTTGTCTTCATATACTTTAGGGCAGAAATTGGCAAATTTTTTCAAGAAAGGGCCAGATCGTAAATATTTTAAGCTTTGCGGGCCAGACGGTCTCTGTCACAACTACTCAACTAACTTCCGTTTTATCTAGAAAGCAGCCACAGACGGTGCGTCATCTAATGGGCAGAGCTGCGTTCCAGTAAGGGTTTGTTTAGCCAGAAAGGCCACCTGCCGGATTTGGCCCCCAGCCTCTAGTTAGCCGACCCCTGCTGTAACAGAACTTCTCAAGCCACTTCCAACTTGGGATCTACACCCAAATACCTGTCGGCCACTTGTCTGGGCTGAGCCTAGGGGCCCTGGTGGGTGAAGCACTAGACTAGAAAAACCCTATTTTGACCCTGGGCAGAACCTGATATGCTAAAAATATGGTCCTGATTATCCATAGAATTTGGTCTCTCCATCCCACCCATGGTTTGTGAGAGCAAAATTTCATGAGCCCCCACTATGATACAGCTTTGAGAATTAAAGTACCAGGGAGCGCATTGTTCTTTTCAACCATTTGGGGACTTTCGCTATGGTGTCTGGTCTGCCTTCATCCACTCAGAGTCCAGCCACATGGCCCCCACACCCCTTCTCACCATGCTGTCTCCACTGTCCCTTTCAGCCCGGACCCGCATCACCAAGCCGCCCCAGGACCAGAGCGTCATCAAGGGCACCCAGGCCTCCATGGTGTGCGGAGTGACCCACGACCCCCGCGTGACCGTCAGGTACTGGCCCCCACTGTTGACTCCAGGCCAGAAGGGAGGGGGAGCCAATGGCAGTAGCCTGCCACTGGGCAAGTGTCCTCACCAGGGAGGTGAGAGCCACAGGGCACGCCTGCTCCTGGGCGGAGGAGCTGAGTGCAGGGCTGAGAGGTAGGGGATGTGACGTGAACACCCGGGAGCTGAGCTACCCTGAACTGAGTTAAGCCAGTTTCCAAAGTGGGAGGGAAAGAGGAAGAGATGCAGAAAAATGAAGGAAGGAGGAATGGAGGAGGAGGCGAGGGAGGGGGAAAGGAAGAGGCTTGTGCGTTAGTAAGCACGGAAGGCAGGGAGTTGCCCTCTCTGGCCCTGGACGCCACTGCTAGTGTCCCCCACCCCACCCCAAGTCTTAGGTCCTCTGGCCTCTGAATGGGCAGCCGAGGGGTCTGGGCAGGCAGACATGGGTCAGCTATAGAGGTGGGGCAGGAGGTGAGTCCTGAGGGGAGCCTCCCAGAGAGGTACATGAGGGAAATGGAGCATCCAACCCGAGGTCACCCCACCATCCACCAGGGCCAAGCCAGGGGACATTGACAAGGGACTTGGCCTCCAGGGAACTCAGTCCTGCTGTGGAAGCCACTAAAGGGGCTGGGAGGAAGCAGCCAAGAAAGGTCTAAAAGCCGGGACCCCTCCCAAGCCCCTGGACCAAACCCTGCCCCCACCCCCAAGGCTTCGGAAGCTTAAACCAAGAGGAAACCGCCTGCCTTCTCTGCCTTGAGCTCCAGAATGCTGAGGGAAATGCAACTGCTTCCTTAGAAATAAATATTCTCTGCGTGTTGCCTCTCTATTTTATGAGCAATATCACTGTCAAAGCAACTGGCAAGGAGGCTGGAAGGGGCCGGCGCTCCTGCACTGGGAGAAATGGCCTCCTTCCTCCAGCAGGAGGCAGCTGCGTCCTGGGGCGCCATCTGGTGGCCACTGGGCCTGTGACAGTCTGTACATTAAATGAGACTCCGGGAGCCCAGGTTGGCACTAAGGGCTCTGGGCTTTTGGCCAACACTGATTCTCAGAGAACACGTCGGCGGCCCCAGTCTGAGAAACACCGCATCAAGTGTTGGCCACTTAAGGCAGTCATCATGTGACGCTAGCACAAATGCAAAAAGGTACGTAGATGTGTTAAGAGTTAGAAGATTGTTGACGGAGATTCCAGAATATGCTTATTTCTGGGTTTGACAGATTTTTCTTTAAAAATTAACGTGCCAACCGTAAGAAAGGTCCTGGGAGAGAACCCACGTAGAATACTGCTGTGCGTCCCGGGCCCGTTTATTATGTAGTAGCTATACTTTTAGCATTCAGTAATTGGGAAATTCTGTAATAACAAAAGGCTGTGTGTATATCAATTCAGTACACTTTAAATCAGATTTTATTTATAAAAGTGTCATCTTTATAAAGATGACTTATTTATAAAAGTGCCAACTTATATTTGAGAAAACATACATCGTATTCGTTCTCTAGACAGTTACGGATGCATAATGAGATTCAGGGGTTTCTTACAATGTAACCCTTAGACCCACTCTCTAGCGCCCCTCCTCCCCCAGTAACCTACAGGTCACAAATCCCTGTTCCAGGTTACTGAAGGGGAGTCCTCACCTTAAATGGAATTAACCATCTAGGGCCATCTTTTCAAGATGGGGGTGGGGAGAAGAATCATCCCGTCATTCCACCCTAAAATTGGCAAAGTCTATGCCCAAGGCCACTATGCCCAGTAGCTCCCACCCCAGCCTGTCTTCCTTAGACTGGGGGGGACAGGGGTGTGTCTTGGGGGTAGGGTGGGACCCAGACCTCGGCATTTTTTTAATATATAAAATTAATACATTTTTATTATACTTTAAGTTCTGGGGTACACGTGCAGAATGTGAAGTCTTGTTACATAGATATACACGTGCCATGGTGGTTTGCTACATCCATCTTGAGGTAGATCTGGGGAATGGGGTGGGACCCAGACCTCAGCATTTTTAAAAAGCTCCCCAGATGATTCTAATGTTTCACCGGGATTGAAAGCCCTGCTCTAGCTGCGAAACACAGCAGGAGCTGGGTGCAAACATAACTGCAGTTTTCCCCTTTGAAAGGAATGGCCAAAACTGCAATTAGTTTCACACCAAATTAATGCAAAAGACCTCAACAACCAAATCAGACTAAAGGGCTGCCGCTGAAGCCTGAGTAACATGTTCTCAGAGCAGAGCCAGGTGCAGGGGTGAGGGTGGGGGCAGGTACAGGCCTCCAGCATGAAAACCTCCAAAACCGTTCTAGAAAAAAGCGCTTCTGTGTGGGATCTGAGCCCAGAGCTAGACCAAATCTGATCAATCTACTTTTAGCCATTAATATTAATAAATATTTTCATTTTTTCTTATTATACAACTAAGCCATTCCATTTTGGGAGAAAAACACAGCAAATGCTCATGAGCAAAAAATTTTAAAAATGAGAAAGAAAAGGTAGAAATATCTGTTCCCCTCAATTCGAGATCATCAATAATAATATCTGGATGTCATTTTAAACTAGAAACATGCTGTTTGTTAATCTGATTTTCCCTTAAGAACCTATTATGAGTCTCTTTCCGTATAAATAAATATTTTTGTATAAACTTGATTGCATAATTGTTCAGCAGTCCATTATGTGGATATGACATAATTTATGTTTACCAGTTCTCTATTGAAGGAATTTGGATTACTTCTAAAATTTTGCTAATATTAAGAAATATCACTATTGGTCAGGCATGGTGGCTCATGCTTGTAATCTTTTCCCTTTGGGAGGCCAAGACAGGAGGATCACTTGAGTCCACCCTGGGCAACATAGTGATACCGCATCTCTAAAAAAAAAAAAAAAAAAAAAAAAAAAGAAGAAGGAAAGAAAGAAAAGCAGAACTACGAATGTCCTTGTGACTAAACCTCTTGGCACATCTTTTAATTCCTGAGGGCTATTATCACCTAAATCCAAAAGGACCCTGAAAATCACTTATCAAAATTGCTTCATAGCCAGTTATATAACAGCAGATTGTTAGGAAAGTTTCTATCCTATTTGAATTGAATAAACTCATGGGTTGTTTTTCAACTTTTTTTATTATGAAAAATGATAGTAAGAGCATACTTAGTTTTAGAGGAACTCACCAAACTGTCTTCCAGAGTGGCAATATCCTTCTTCATTCCCACCAGCACTGAGTGAGCACTCTCCTTGCCTGCATTTGGTGGTGTCATTGCTCTGGTTTTTGGCCATTCTTCTCTTCCCCCCACCCCCTTTTGACACAGAGTTTCACTCTTATCACCCAGGCTGAAGTGCAGTGGTATAATCTTGGCTCACTGCAACCTCCACCTCCCAGGTCCAAGCAATTCTCCTGCCTCAGCCTCCTGAGTAGCTGGGATTACAGACGCCTGCCACCAAACCCGGCTAATTTTGTATTTTTAGTACAGACGGGGATTCACCACATTAGCCAGACTGGTCTCGAACTCCTGACCTCAGGTGATCCACCTGCCTCAGCCTCCCAAAGTGCTGGGATTATAGGCATGAGCCACCAAGCCCAGCCAGATTTTGGCCATTCTAATAGCTGTGTTGTGATGTCTCCGTGTTGTTTTAATTCGCATTTCCCTAATGCCGTGTAATGTGCAGCATCTTTTCACTTGCTTATTGGTCTTCTGTGTACCTTCTTTGGTGAAGCATCCGTCAAGGTCTATTTTTTAATCAGATTGTTTTCTTATTGCTGAGTTCTAAGAGTTCTTCATATATTTTGGATAGCAGTGCTTTATCAGAGATATCGTTTACAAATATTTTCTTCTAGTGTGTGTGGCTTCTCTTTTCATTCTCCTGAAAGTGTCTGTGGAAGAGCAGCAATGTTTAATTTAGTGAAATCTAGCTTATCTACTCTTTCTTTCATGGATTGTGCCTTGGGTGTCGTATTTAAAGAGCCATTGCCAAACCCAAGGTCATCTAGATGTTCTCCTGTATTATCTTCTAGGAGTTTTATAGCTTTGCATTTTACATTTAGGTCTGATCCAATTTGAGTTAATTTTTGTGAAGGGTATAAGATCTGTGTCTATGTGTCTAGTTTCTTTCTTTTTTTTTTTTTTTTTTTTTTGCATGTGGTTGTCAAGCTCTTCCAGCACTGTTTGTTGAAAGTATTTCTTTTTTATTTTTGTCTTTGTTCTTGTTTTGTTTTTACATCATTGATTTGTTAGAGAAACCAGGTTGTAGAAGACAGAGGTCAGCAATCTTTGCTGTGAAGGACCAAAGAGTAAACATTCTAGGCTTTAAGAGAACCATGTGGTCTTGTCATGACTACTCAACTCTGCCTATATCGATAAAGCAGCCATATGTAAATAGATACTATGTAAACAGATGGGCATGTCTGTGTTCTAATAAAACTTTATTTGCACAAACAGGCAGCAGGTCATAGTTTGCTGATCCTGCTATGGAATATTCAACATTCTGGATTTGGCTGGCTGCTTTCTCAGGGTGTTGTTAAGCTGTTCTTCTATCCCCTGTATTTCTAATTCAATTTCAGTATCTGCTAATTAGATTCACGTTCAATTGTTTTGAGACAAATACTTCACGGGCCATGCTCTCTGCTTCCTAAAGCACCACATTCTGAAGCAGACTGTCTGCTTGCCGTAGGTTATTTCTTACATGGGAGTTACTCTCTGCAACTAAATTTGCTTTTAAGTAAAATTCTGCCCATCCTATGAGTGCTGGCAAGGGTAACTCCTTTCTAAATAAAGAGATGAATTGAAGGGTATTGCTGTTGTTAATTTCTAAGTAGGTATTAAAAGCCTTCAAAACTAACTCAACAATTTCACTGCTGATAATTTGTCCTTGAGGAAGTGATTTGGAATGGTTGTAAACATTTCGCCATAAGGACCACAGCATTAACTATGACATTAGAAAAGAAAGGGCTAAACTGGATGTCCAATATTATGGGATCGGTTAAATTGCAAAGCAACTGTAGAGAAACGTTTTGCCTGTCTCTAGGCTGGTCTCGAACTCCTGACCTCAGGTGATCCACCCACCTCGGCCCCCCAAAGTGCTGAGATTACCAGTGTGAACCACCGTGGTTCTGCTTTATAACTTAAGTTTAAAATATTACAGAGCCACTCTCCCTAATTATCTGACATTCTGTAAACCCAGATAGTCCTGGGAGCCAGCAGCCCAGGCCCCCACCCTGTACCCCATTTAACCGGGGCTATTTGCAAAGCATCTTAGCCATCAGCCGGTTCCTCACGCTTGTGCTGAGAACCAAGGCCACCCTTCCCTGGGGTTGCTGCGTGCCATCCTGCCCCCCATGGCAGGCACTTCCTGCATGTTGATGACAACGATAATGGTTGTATCTCCTCAAGAACAATTCCAGAGAAGATATTTTTTCTTGTCAGGCACTGGTGTGCGTGTAATTTCTCAAGCCCCCTTTGTACCGACTGACCGAAGCTAAAGTGATTTTTTGGACACTCAAGTCAGTTTGTCACAGTGATGCATTGATATAATGATTCCCCTCGTAAAACTAATTCCGAAATGTAGTCTACGCGGAAATGTGAATTTTTTTTTCCAGCTGTAATCTTTTAACCTCTTCAGAAGAATGCCTTTCACTGGCTGTTTTACAGTCGCTTCTGGCCAGAAACAGCAATGCTTTGACGCAACCTGAACTGAAGGTGTGACAACCAATGATGACTTGACTTAATGCGTTTGCTCTCCTGGATGCAGCCCCCTCCCTGCAGGAGTGACGGGCTTCCAGCCTGCTCAGCCTTCGAGAGTCCTGCTCCCCGGCCCCACTGTCCTGGCCGGCTGTTGCCTGGAATTGTCCCCTGCCCAGCTTTGGAGCTAATTCTCAGGACAAGCTCCAGGTGGAGTCCACCCCCGAGGCACCTTCCTCTCCCTCTTTACTTACGGCTTCTTAATTTTAGGTACGTCTGGGAGAAGGACGGGGCCACCCTGGGCGTGGAGAGCAATCCCCGTATCCGCCTGGACAGAAACGGCTCCCTGCACATCTCACAGACGTGGTCGGGGGACATCGGCACGTACACATGCCGGGTGATCTCAGCGGGAGGCAACGACTCTCGCAGTGCCCACCTGCGAGTCAGGTAAGGGCAGCCCTCCCAGGCCCAGGCAGGGGAGGTGCAGGCAATAGCAACTGGCAGGCCAAGAGTCAGCCAAGTCCCTTTTGTCAGATTCCCAGGCCACGTGTGACCTGAACTGCTCAGCTTCACTCAGTACACGCCCCCAGGATCCTTCCAGGCCTTGCTCTCAGCTCAGTTAGGCTCCCCCGTCAAGAGCAGAGGGTGTGAGGATGGCTTTATCTGGGGGGCTCCGATTCCAGAGAGAAACATCTCCAGGTAGAGGGCACGAAGGCCATGTTTTATGTCTGATCACGAGGTGTCGTGGAAGCCCAAGACCTGCACAACCTGCGCCCGCAGCACGCCCGTCACCTGCCTGCAGACCGCATGGGATGCCTGACCACACGTCTCTCTCCTCCAGGCAACTGCCCCACGCGCCCGAGCACCCGGTGGCCACCCTCAGCACCTCGGAGAGACGAGCCATCAACCTGACGTGGGCCAAGCCGTTTGACGGCAACAGCCCCCTGATCCGCTATGTCCTGGAGATGTCGGAGAACAGTAAGGTTCCCATGCTCACCGCCAGCACCCCCTGCCCAAGTGCGGACTCAGGAGGCAGCCCTGGGCTGGGGTCCCAGCTCCCCTGCTTCTTAGTTCTGGGCCTTTGAGCATATCCCTCCCTCTGGCAGCCTCAGCTTCCTCATCTCTGAAAGGAACACCAACATCTGCCCGTCAGGCGTGTTACCATTGAAAGACATGACACACAACAGGTGCTGAACTCAGGGCCTGGCACAGCAGAAGCTGCAAAGAAAATGGCCACTATGTATTTATTGTTTATTTATGTATGTATTCCCCAAGTCAAATTAGCAGGCATAATTTGAATTGCATTTTATTTATTTATTTACTTTTTTTTTGAGACAGAGTTTCACGCTTGTCGCCCAGGCTGGAGCGTGCTGGTGCCATCTCGGCTCACTGCAGCCTCCACCTGCCGGGTTCAAGCAATTCTCCTGCCTCAGCCTGCAGAGAAGCTGGGATTACAGGCATGCGCCACCACACTCAGCTAATTTTGTATTTTTAATACAGACGGGGTTTCACCATGTTAGTCAGGCTGGTCTCGAACTCCTGACCTCAGGTGATCTGCCAGCATTGGCCTCCCAAAGTGCTGGGATTACAGATGTGAGCCACCGCGCCCAGGCTGGATGGCATTTTAAACACAGCTTGCCTGGAGCTCATCGATTTGCGGAGCCAAGGGGAGAGATGAAGACATCTCAGTTCCCATGAGCCCTTACTTTGCTTCGGCACCCTCCGCCCTCTCCTCCCCAGGGTCATGTGAGCTAATGGGACCTAGAAAAAATGGCATGGTGCGCCGCTCCTGGACCAAGCTGGGGAGGCTCTCTCTTTCCAGCCCCAGTGAGGCCAGACCCTGCTGGAAATGAGGAGTAAGAAGCACTCTCTGTTCCCCCAAGATGCCCACTTCTGCCCCCACTCACTGTCCCTACAGATGCCCCCTGGACTGTACTCCTGGCCAGTGTGGACCCCAAAGCTACCTCAGTGACAGTCAAGGGCTTGGTTCCTGCACGCTCCTACCAGTTCCGTCTCTGTGCCGTCAACGACGTGGGGAAAGGACAATTCAGCAAAGACACTGAGAGGTAAGGGCAGCAGGCACTCTGCAGGGGCATGGCCAAGACTCCCTGGGGGAGGGGCTGCAGCCGACACTGACGCCAGGTTCTGCTAGGGTTCCCACAAAGATTTTTTTTTTTTTTTTTTTTTTTT